TGATATATTTTTCTTTTTTTATTTTTCAGAAGAATAATGCAGTGTTAGTGTTTGATATTTGTACTGCGTGCAATGCAGTTTTTGAATTAATTGTAAAATCAGTGTTAGTACGAATAATTAAAGTAACATTTTTTATCGCGAATTAGAATCAGTGACCGGGCGTACAATAAATTAAAATCAAAACGCGAATTAAAATCAGTGTTGTTCGTCGTATAATAAAATTTCGGATTTCGCGATAAGAAACTCACTTATAGTTTCTTATTTTCGTTTATAACGCGTTATTAGATTCACGCGTGGTGCATCACCATGATGCCATTGTGCTGCAACCCTATGGAATGCATTGTAAGTATTCATTTTTATTTACATTTTATTAGATTTTATTTCATAAGATTTTTCGATCATATTTTAGATTGATTTATCATTTTATTCTATTTCATTTTACAGATACTACAAAGGATTTTCTTCTCCCTTTTCAAAGATGTGGAATGAATTCTTCGATGGATTTCTATCGGGACTGCAATACTTGCTCTGAAGTAGGAGTGTTTTGGAGCCACCATAGAACTTCTAATGCCAGCTGTTCATATTTCATATATGGGATATAACAGTTGGTAACGAGTGAGTACAAAAATTTGAATTTCCTCCGGTGCTCAATCATGCCTCGAATAAATTATCCTAATCGGCACGAGCTACCGGTTGTAATTATTATAATAAATTATTGACTATATACATTATTAACAAACATAAAAATTATTTTCTATTATATATTTAATTAATTGGGGGGGATACATCTTTTTATCACGTCAATTAAATTCTTCAGAAATATTTTTATTCTCTTCGAATAATATTCTAAGTTGAAATTTATTCGTTTGCTTGTTAGGGAGTTACGTTTTAGGTCTTTGATAAATTTTAATAGAAATTTATTATAGTTAGTTGTGTTGTTCAAAGATTTTTTTGATAGATTCCATATGTGAAATGATTTTTTTATTGTATCGATTAGAAAATTTTAAAAGTGTGCCTGTGTGTGTGATGAATGATGTATAATATAAAGTAAAATAAGTTTTTTGTGTAATATCGAGT